GTGTGAGTGTGTGTTTGAGAGGGTCGGTGTGACTTTGAATAGTCAAAATATCTTGAAAGGTTCAGAGCAGTCTAGTTGTTGTGTACACTCACGTGTTGTTTTAAAAATTACAGTTTTGCTTTGGGGTATGAAGACCCCAACACAGACTCAAACTAAAGTAGTTACAATTAAACATAGTCAGAAAAAAATATATATATTTCTAAATTTCTGTTTATATTGTTCTATTGTGAAGTTAAAGCGTAGTTTCTTAAGTGAGGCCGAGCCAACGATATAAAACTATAAAGATAATCTTCACACATCAGCTCACTATTGATGAGACGTTTCTGTGTTAGTACTAAAGTACTGCTCGCCCACTAGTAAACAAGATGAAATACAAATTGCAGAAGAGCACTCATCACTAAGCTCTATTTTGGGTTTACCTTGCTAGTACAGGGTTGGACCCCTTTTGTCTTCAGAGGTGCCTTAATCCTTCGTGGCATAGATTCACCAAGGTACTGGAAACATTCATCAGATTTTGGTCCATATTGACATGATAGCATCACACAGTTGCTGCAGATTAGCCGGCTGAACATCCATGATGTGAATCTCCCGTTCCCCCACATCCCAAAGGTGCTCTATTGGATTGAGATCTGGTGACTGTGGAGACCATCTGAGTACAGTGAACTCATTGTCATGTTCAAGAATCCAGTCTGAGATGATTCCAGCTCTATGACATGGTGCATTATCCTGCTGGAAGTAGCCATCAGAAGATGGTACACTGTGGTCATAAAGGGATGGACATGGTCAGCCACAATACTCAGGTGGGCTGTGGTGTTGCAACGATGATCAATTGGTACTAAGAGGTCCAAAGTGTGCCACGAAAATGTCCTCCACACCATCACACCACCACCACCAGCCTGAATCATTGATACAAGGCAGAGTGGATCCATGCTTTCATGTTTTTGACACCAAATTCTGACCCTACAATCCGAATGTCGCAGCTTCAGCTTCAGTTTCTTCTTCTTAGCTGACAGGAGTGGTACACGGTTCTGCTGCCTTCAGAGATTGTCTTCTGCATGCCTTGGTTGTAACAAGTGATTGAGTTATTTTTTCCTTTCCATCAGCTCTAACCAATCTGGCCATTCTCCTCTGGCCTCTGGCATCAACAAGGTGATTTTGCTCACAAAACTGCCGCTCACATGATGAAGGCAGTTTTGATCCATTTCAAGATTTCTAATTATTTTTACTGTCATGAGTTGGTGCTTTGAACCCGACAGAAGTCCACGTCAAGTCCAAATTCAAAGATGTGGAAGTCCAAGTCAAGTCCAAGTCCTTAACTTTGAACTTTCAAGTCATGATCAAGTTATCTGTCCAACTTCAATTTAATGACAATGATAATAAAATTCCAGAAATGAAGCTTCTTAAAGCTTCATTTATTTGCCCAAACAAGCAGAAAGTGCAACTGAAACTGATTATAAACAAAGTTTTGCTGCATTTAGTAGTAAATTAAACCCAGAACGAAGAATGATTTATGATTATTGTCCATGTTGTGCCACTTTTGTGCTAAAATATCAAACATGCTGAGCCATCGTCAAGTCGATTCAAGTCGCAAGTAATTGGCGTTCAAGCCCGAGTCAAGTCATAAGTCTTTATAGATTTTATCAAGTCAAGTCGTTAAAATAATGACTCACGTCTGACTCGAGTCCAATTCATGTGACCCGAGTCCACACCTCTGCAAAATGGTGTTTGGTTTCCAAATGACTCACAAACCACCAAGAGTAGACATTTATAAGAACCAGTTACTGTAACACGGATGTGATTAATGTAAAACACCATGACCACTTCTTCTCCAGTCATCATGATGACTCATTGTAAGCCTTTGTGTGTGTATTCTTTGATGTGTGGAGAGTTCTGACATGCTTTCAGAAAATGTGTGTAAACGACTGCGAAAAACTGTAATGGGCTTTTTATTTGGGAAGGAATTGAAACAGTTTCTTAGGGAAAAGCGATATTACCCTCTAGTGGACAAACCAAAGAATAGGACTCTGATAATGTCTTCAAAATCTGCCTTGTGAGTGCAATTCCTGTGGAATCTCAACAGCTGGAATTTAATCATTCCAGCAAAAGACTATTATAAAAAATATATAAATATTTAAATATATAAATATATATTTTTTAATTCAAGAGAGCATGGGTATCTATCAAGTAAATAAAACATTTTACAGGCGAAACTTGAAAAATCAGAATATGTTGCAAAGGTTTATTTCAGTAATTCTAAGTCCTTTTTCTCATTTATGTATTAGTTTCATCTTAAAAGGTGTAACCAATTAAATAGATTTATGATTATGATTACACGCAAATCCAGATATTTCAAGCCTTTATTTGTTATTATTATGATGATTATGGCTGACAGCTTGTGATATTCACTTGTATGTTAGCATTTAGTTTGAAAATTAGAACCTTTAAATGTAATAGCAGTAGCAGCAGAGGATTGCCACATAACTATGAAGATTAGTTAGAAATAAAAATGTATATATATATATATATATATATATATATATATATATATATATATATATATACATAGCTGATTTCCTGTGGTAAACCCTAAAGGGAACAGAGAAAACAGGAAGAAGAGGTCCCCGCCTTCAGCCAACACCCATCTCAAACTGACCCCGGCCCTTTTGTTCTCTACTGTGGCCATCAGACATCAGGGCTCTCACAGAACGATCACTCGAGCCTTCACCTGTGGTGATTGTCTCGTCCCGCGGTGCAAGACTTCTTTTGGTCAGTCTGCTCTTTCTGTAAAGGGGGCCAAACTTTGGAACTCTCTACCTACTGATCTAAAACTAGAAACGGACAGTAAAGTTTCTAACAAAGAACTCAAAAAATGGTTAAAGTCTAAACACCAATGTCTACATGAATAGTTTTAAACATTGCTGCTCAAATTGCCTTTTTTTATTGAAAATTGTTTGAAAATGTAATCTGTTTTCTGTTTGATTTATTGTTGATCTCTTTGTATTTTATTTAAATGTACTCTATTTTTTAGAAAGGTTCTATGGACAAGTGTTGCAAATTAGCACGTGTGCTAACACACTAAACAATGCATCTGGTTTGTCCAACGTAATTGCTGTGTTCATGTCAAATAAACATCACATTTTGGCCCCTTCCATGAGTGGTTCATCCATGGAAAGGGGGATCCATCCTCTTGCTGGTTGGGCACCATGGGTGAAGGCCTGGCCACCAGGTGCACGCCAATATGCCCCACCTCCAGGTCTGGCTCCAGAAAGGTGCCCCAGTGACCCGCATCCTTGCGAGGGAACACAGATTTCATTCAAAGGTATCAGTTTTTTTTTAAGGAAAAGTAAGTATTGCAGAGATTTTTGGGACCTGTGCCATTAAGTGCGAGGTAAATGTGTTATATTTGTTCATCTTTGTAGCAGGCAGAGGCTGTCACAAGTGTTTTCTTTATATATAAAGTGGATGAGATCCACTGGATTGGCAGACTGGGGTGGTGGTTTCCCTATTTAAAAAGGAGGCCACAGAGTGTGTTCCAACTACAGGGGATCACACTCCTGAGCCTCCCTGGTAAGGTCTATTCAGGGAGAGGAGGGTCCATCGAATCATCAAACCTCGGACTCAGGGGAACAATGTGGTTTTTGTCCTGGCTGTGAACCATCTCTATACCCTTAAGGAGATCCTAGAAGGTGTGTGGGAGTTTGCCTAACTAATCCACAGGTATTTTGTGGATTTGGGGAAGGCGTTTGACCGTGTCCCTCACGGGTCCTATGGGGGCTATTTCAGAAGTATGGAGTACAGGGCCCCCTACATATGGTCTGTTAGGTCCCTGTATGTCCAGTGCCAGAGCTTGGTCCACATTGCCAGCAGTAAGTTGAGCTTGTTTCCGGTAAGAGGTTAACTCTGCCAAGGCTGCCCTTTGTCACCAATTCTGTTCATAACTTTTATAGACAGGATTTCTAGGTGCAGTCAAGGTACTGGCTTCATCAAACAGTGATCTCCAGCTTTTACTGGAGCGGTTCACAGTGTGAAGCAACTGGGATGAGAATCAGCTCCTCTAAATCCGAGACCATGGTCCACACTCCGGTGGAGACCTGTGCATCTCTGGAGCTTGGATCTCCTCCATCCTCCATGGATCTTTGGGGGAAGGTCTGTGGCAGCTCACACTTACTATTGAACACTATTGAACATGCTTGTAAAGAAACCTTATATGTACAAGCACGTGTACACACACAGGTGCTCACATGGTGTCCTCACAGGTATGGACTCAGGCATTTTTGACACATAACCTAGGGCTGTGGTTAGCACTAAATGCATTATCTGGTATATATCCTCGTGTTTTTGTCAGAGTGATATTTTGGTTCTGTTGTATTTTTGCTTGTCACTTTTTTTTCTTTCTCTCTATTTCTGCAGGTCTAGAAGTGGATTTTTATTCATCTATTATTATTTATTTTTGTTCACTTTTTTCCCCTCTTCTTTATTTTCTTTACCTTCTTTCTCTTTCCTTTCTGTCTCCGTATTCATTGGGATTTAAAACAAACAAAAGTGTTTCTAATAAAGTTTGGGCATTAAAGCTGAGTCTGTGAGAGTAAAACTGTAATGCATGTATTCGGATACTCACACATCAATTCTGAATGTTTTACAGCTCAACAGGACACGGAAAAAAGTCAACAAAACAAAAAGCAAATTGATATGGGTGAATTTAGGTTTTGGTTTGACCAAGTAATCGTTGTTGGAAACAGCTGGTTTTGACCACAGAGCTATGCTGCTTCTGAAATGTGGCAGCTGAATAAAAAATCACACTAAGATACCTGGCAGACTAGTGACAGCACAATTTAAGGGAGCAAGCAGGAAATGCATCCACACTGTCTGCTTAGAAACTATCAGTTACATTTGTTATTTAAATTAAAATGTGTTTTTTATGTGTTATTCTGTTACAAATAATAGTGGTGTGGTGCTGCAATCACTTACACTTGCACATCTAAAATGTACCCTTTTAAAACACCAGTTCATGTATGTTTTATTAAATTAGTCCACCTTAAATTTTGGAGGCCTTTGCATGGCCAGGGACATTGTGGCTTGTGAAACCTGGACTCAGTCCTGGCCACGTTCATGCCTCAGAACCCCAGAGCTTCCATTTTCACGCTGCAGCCCAGCAGTTTGTTTCCTGCATCAACACACTCTGTCACGCACTGAGCTGAAAAATACCAAAGGAACAGAAAAATAAGAAAATACGGTGAGAAATATTAACTAAATTTAATATTTACACATAGACAAAAGCAGCGCTGCAGCATTTGCTATTGCTGTTACCATTCTCAGCTTGGATCCACCGAGCAGCCTTCCCAGCCAGAAGCTCCCACTCCTCCTTTGCATCCATCTTGAATCCATGAAGCCAGATCAGAGCCAAAAAGGTGGCGTACACTTTTCTGTTGACCTGATTCAACACAAAATAATTAAGAAAAGAAAGTAAAGCAGCTTAATAAATAAATGTTTTGGTTCCATTTTTTTTACAAAAGTAGTCAAACTTCAGTCAACTTTATTTTATAGTTAATGTTTACATTTTGTGTTTTATGTGAATCTTTTTGAAGTTTTATCTTATGACATTTAGTTCTATTGTAAAATTATTAATATTTTAATTTAATACAGTCAGTTAAAGAATGATCATTTGCCATTCTCTCGACCACCCACTCCTGTAGGTTTTGACATCTCCATCTCCTCACTGGTCTTTCCCAGCACATCAGCCAAATGTGAGTCAAGCAGCCAGAAGCCAGAAGCTTTCTGGAGGGAGATCAGCAGCAGCAGAGGGTCTCTATCAGGTTGGGGAGGTGCAGCAGCTCTTTTCTCTGAATCGAAATAATCAGAGGAATAAAAAATAGAGACAATTGCTGAAATAAGGAAAAACCATTGAAGATTACATTTAATAATCAGGCATTGCAATAAATTCTGTTTATTTATGGCTCAAGCCTTGGGCACACTGGTGGCGAACGTGCCGCGCCCGCGCTGTGCCTGTGCTGCGTCATCAATTTCAATAGAAATCATTATAGTTAATGAGAGTGGAAACACGGGGAGTGCCGCGCTGCGACCCAGCAGCTAGGCGCTGAAGATAGGCGCCAGTTCAATCTCATTTCTGCTGAAAGCACAACTTTTCATTGAACTCTGTGATGACATGGGGGTGGTCCATAAAACTATGCTATTTTACAGTAAAGCATGGCGGCTGTCGCAAGGGAAAGTTTGGTCAGAGCTCAGAAGTGAAATTGGATATTTTTGGAGCAAGAGTGCATGCATTAGAATGCCATTTTGGTGAAACTGGCCTACCTCAGTGACATGTGTTATAAAAGCTACAATAATCAAACCTACAGCTTCAAAACAGATTGACATCACAGACACAATCTGCTCCTTCTCTTGAAGGTTTGAGGCATGGGACAAGCCACTTGCTGGACTTATTGTGATGAAAGTAGTTATAGGTCGAAGGTGGCACAGGAGTTAAGTGCTCGCCCTGTATTCGGAAGGTTGCAGGTTCGAGCCCCACTCAGTGTGTCTCTGTAATTGTGTCCTTGGGCAAGACACTTAACACGCCTTGCCTGCTGCTGGTGGTGGTCAGAGGGACCGGTGGCGCCTGTGCACAGCAGATTCGCCTCTGTCAGTGCGCCCCAGGGCAGCTGTGGCTATGATGTAGCTCATTACCACCAGGGTGTGAATGTGTGTGTGAATGAGTGAATGATTGATTGTGTTGTAAAGCACCTTGGGGGGTTCCAGGACTCTAGAAGGCGGTATATCAAGTACAGACCAGTTACCATTATATGTGAAGCAGTGAACTGTTTGTAGCTTTTGAAAAACTTTAATGAATTAATTAATGAATTCAAAATTCTATTTTGTCTTGGCCCCCAAAACGCCTTCAAACGGCCCTGGGTGTGGGCCCGAGTTTTGAAAATGATAAGCATTGTATATTACATGCTTATAGCTTGTTGCTTTATACAGGTAAAGCGTGTAGTAGGATGAATCTACCTACATTTTACTTTTCAAACACTATTTTGTTTTCTTGTTTTTTTTTATTTTTCCTGTCCTGTCTGTCTCTGGTCTTCCTGCACCTCCTCTCAATCCTCCAGAAAAAACTGCTGCCTGGCTTCTTACTTTTTCACCTCATGATTTACTTTTGAACGACGCAGATCAAAGGGATCCACCGACCGCAAAGCGGAGTGCGCGGCTGTGCCAGTGAGGTGAGATCACAACAGCACGGGTGATGAGCTCCACAGTAGCAGAGCGGGTACCAGGGAATATGAGCGGACATGAACGATCGTGTTAATAATAACTTTTTGGTTGCGCCACTTTGAGAATGTGCCATGTGCAGGACGCAGCTGCCTGGAGCGCAGCGATCAGCGCTCTGCCGCTCAAAAGAATCCCCGATACGCTGAGAGTCCCTATTGGTAGAAACGGGATCTTTTTTGGGCTCTCCCTAGATGTGTAAGATATCCAGCTCCCCCAACCGGACATTTTCATCTACATAGGAAACCCTGCCCCCCCGGACGCCCCGGACATGAAGAGAAAAGTGGGCATGCCCGGGGAAAAGAGGACATTCATTATTACACAGCATTGTTATTAAGCACAAGAGAAATGTATGTAAATTAATGCTAAACACTTTACATCAAATGCCAGGTCTAGTGCAAAGAGAATTCAAAGCTCAGTTTCTCAGAGAGAATCTTTTAGATATCTTAGCCAAATTCATGAGCTTACCTTCTACAGAGCCTTCAGAGCCTCTTCAAAAGAGGACATGATTACGAAGTTAAAGAACTCCCTCCACTGCTCACCAGTGTGCCCAGTCCTGGTTTCCAGTTATCTTCCAACATGTGCACACAATGTGTCAGTGGGAACACCAGTAGCAAAAGTCACAGCTTTTTAGGGCATCTCACTATCCATCAACTCTTAGAAGAGCCAAGCCTTTAAGTCCTCTTTCGTATCTCTAATAGGTCTAACAGTTGTCGCCACAGTGTTTGGCAAGGTCCATTTGAACACAAACACTTCCACACCTCCAAACTCCCCTGAAATCCTGGATGTGTGAGATCAGGTGCTCTTGTGGCCTTACAGCTTTCTACTTTAACCACTGGTTACCTTTAGGTGGAGGCTTGACAACAGCAGCATTAGGCTTTTGAGGTGGTTTATGAGGCTTCATCAAGGTGAAGAATCTTTGCTTCATTTTAGAGAGAAAACCGTTGTCAGGCTTGCCCTGTCCGGAAACTGCAGAAGAGCGGTAGAAGAAGAAGAAGAAGAAGAAGAAGAAGAAGAAGAAGAAGAAGAAGAAGAAGAAGAAGAAGAAGAAGAAGAAGAAGAAGAAGAAGAAAAGAAGAAGAAGAAGAAGAAGAAGAAGAAGAAGAAGAAGAAGAAGAAGAACAAAACAAAAAACAAAACAAAAGCAATCAAACAAACAAAATGAAAAACAAACAAACTTAAGGAAACTATGTTACTGCTCCACTGGGATTTAGCTTTACTGCTTTATTGATGAGGTGAATCAGATCGGGAAAATGAATACATGATTAAAAACGAGAGATTACAATAAAAACATGTTTGGTAGTATACCTTGAAGAAGATCCTGAGACACCTACATGTCCCCGCTTAAGAAAGGACCTCTTCCCCCACCCAGAGTTGGCATTCTAGCCCTTTCCTGTCAAGAACCACAGCCAGGGAACTGGAGGTGCTGATCCTCATCCTAGCCACTTTACACTCAGCTATGAATCCACCCAGGGGCGGGCTAGGATAATAATTCAGGCCAGGAATTTGACCCCATCCCAGGCCACCACCCAATTAACGCAAAACACTAAAAGTGAGCCAGGCTGGGCGTCTACTGATGTAAAAGTGTAAAACTAAATTATTAAAGCTTCATGCACCCTGTTTCTTTCCTTTATAATATAAATGTTTGTGTTCTGCTGCTATAAGCTGTACTTATGTTGAATAAACGAAAATTCTATTTAATTCAGTTAAAACATGCCACCTGCACACTAAAATTCATCCACTACACTTTACCAGTGTAATGGATGAAATAGAACAGACATCATAATCCACTTCAATTTGAGATTAACAGGTACCAGACTAGTTATACACATCACTACTGTGTGTGGTGGTGGTGTCACCAACTGACATGCCTTGTCATTTAGGTTTATAACTTAGCAGAAGCAGATTAAATGAACAGCCTTGCTCAACAATGGCTAAAGCCTTTTGCAGATGTACACGTCTCCTTTTTCTGGATGCAAAGTCATTAATGAGGTCATCTGATGCTGTGCTTCTTCTGAACTGATCTGAACTTATGACAGTCAGACCACTCAAGTGTTCTTGTGCCATATGAGCCTCAGTTTTGAGATGTTACAGTCAGGAGCTGAAACTAACAGGGAAAGCTAACTTCTCACTTCAGCATTGACCCTGTTATCACCAGAAATCCATCATGCAAGCAGATTGTTCCCTTCCAGTCGATTCACGCGGCAAACATCACGCCCTGGTGTGGCCTGGCTGAAGACACATCTAATCACTCCTGTAAAGGCTTGTCCTTCTCCACTTTAAAGGTCTACCTGGCAGTCATTTCTGCTTGCCATGAATCTTTTAGTTTCTCCTGGCACTCACCCTTTAGCCTTTAAGTTCATGAAAGGGGTTCGCAGACTGAGGCCCATTATTAGATCTTCGGTACCTTCTTGGGACCTCACTTTGGTGCTGGAGGCCCTGTGTGGTCCCCCATTTGAGCCCATTGAATCAATTCTGTCATATAAGACAGCCCTGTTCTTAGCCCTAGCAATTGCTAAGAAAGCGGGGGATCTTCATGCTCTTTCGGTCCACCCTTCCTGTCTGAAATTTTCATCAGACTGATCTAGGGTCACTGCATCCGAATGCTGCGTATTTGCCCAAGGTCATTCCGCTCAACTATGGTTCCATGACAATAGAGCTACTGGGCTTCAATCGTCCTCCTTTTGCCTCTGAGGAGTAGAGGAGGGTGCATTGTCTGTGCCCAGTTCATGTTCTGCAGGCTTATATAGATCGTGCTCAGAATGTCTGAAAAACAGACCAACTATTTGTGTGTTTTGCTGAACCGTCCATGGGAAAAGCTTTGTCGAAGCAAAGGCATTTCAGTTGGTGACATTTGCTCAGCTGCAAGCTGGGCTACACCCCACATGTTTGTGAGGTTTTACTGTTTGGATGTTTTGGCCCTTTCGAGGGCCCATGCGGTTCTTTCTGCTGGGTCTGACTTGCCACCTTAGATTGCAAACTCAGCCCAAGTTTGTTAGCTACTCATGGGCGTTTCAATAAGTCCCATAGTACCTTCATTGTACCAAGTGAATCGACTGAAAGGGAATGTTAGGTTATGCATATAACCACTGTACAACGCAGGGCTGCCACATTTCACAGCCTAGCTCGGTGAAGAGCGGCTATCGAACTGAGGAATGAGGGTGATGCTGTCACGCTCATTTGCCTTTACAGGCATGATTAGATGTGTCTTCTGCCAGGTCACATGGGGGCGTGATGTCCCATAGTACCTTCGTTGTTCAAGGTTGAACCACACATATCTGTAGATTAAGGAAATTGTGCACATTTACTGTCATTTTGTTTTTAAATATTGAGTTTTGACTTTGTCCCAGTTTTTCATTATGGCCCAGTGTGAATTTGAGTTTGACGCCCCTGATTTAGATATTAAGTGCGTCATGAATGTCGTGCCTGAGCGGACCAGATTAACAGCCAGATGCACAAGCCAGATGTGTCTTTTGATTTTGACCCCTCCCCACTGGCTAACTGCCGCTAAATGTAGATGAAACTAAAATCTTAATTACTGCCCCTTATCAAACAACAACTAGCTGAATTGTGCTCTTCTGGCCAGTTGAGTCTCAGAAACCTCTGTGTCATCTTTGACTCTGCCACAATCGTCGTACCAGGATTATTTATTGCTCAGATTATTTTAACAGAAAAATATGTCAAAACCTACAACTCTGATGCAAAATCTGTATTAGGCATGTCAATGAACGTTTTACCGATGGACTACTTACAACCTTGTTGTAAAGCCAACACTTGAGCCATTCTGGTAGCTGTGTCATTAGGACCTGTTGAAAATACCCAGAAGAAAAGGAGAGATGAAGACATTACTTCTGCATTTGAAAACAAAAGTTTCTGATTGAGTTCAGTAACATGTTTAGGCACACTGATCTATAGCTGACATAGGTTGGATTTTTAAACCTGAAATAGTAAGTGAGTAAGTAATTCAAATATATATTTTCATCCCTTTAGATAAAAACATAAGGTAGGGAGAGTGAAATAATCAAAACAAAGGTGATAAATAACAATAAAGAGCAAACAGAGGATGTACACAAGTTCATACTAAAGCCAGCTTGACCAAGTGAGTTTTCAGCAGCTTTTTAAAGGAGACCACTGATCTCAGGCTCAGGGGGAGAGTCTGGGAGCCACAGCAACAAATACTATATATTTGTATATCTGTAATGGGTAATGTGCTGAGATGAAAAAACACTGAAATGAAAATTGTCAACCTAGAGATCTTAAGTCACCAATAAATTGAACCTGAAAACATGATGGGGCAGAGCAGTCCAAATTGATGAGTATTTTTGTTAAGTTCAATCTGTGTTGCTTTTTCAATTAATAAGCGACATACTTGAGCTGAAACTTCCATATAGACAGGTAAAAACAAAGCTTTTACTACTCTGTTTATGGATAAGAACCCAAAAATGGAATTAATGTTGAGTAGTTTTCATGGTTGTATGCATTCCTCACAATGTCGAACCTCACGCCTGAGCATGTTAGTTCATGACCCCTACTGTAGTCTAAATATCTCTCCATGATATGCATCCCCAGACAAACACTGGCAAACATACCAGTCATGCTAAACAATGTTGTAGGCAGCATAACTATTACAGCCACCGCCTGTAATGAATTGTTTCTGCTGCCTGTTCAGCACCACGGACAGCGTCTGTTCCCTACAAATCAGCACCACGGACAGCGGAAGGCTGACAATTCTCTTTCACACTTCCTCCCTCCTGGATGAGGATGGGGCAGCTGTTTGGAGTTGTCCTGATGAAGACTAAGCAATTGTACTCCTTCAAATGTTGAGGTTAATAGTTGCACCAGGGGTTCAGATCTGTGCTGTTGTCCCCAGATCACTCTGTGTAGCATTATTAGTGATCTTAATCTTAAAAAAACTTGATTGTTTGAAAGATTTAGGAAAACACCTTGTGTAGTTTGTTTTATACAGCCTCAGCACAACTGATGAATTGTTAACTCATTCACTGCCATTGACAACAAAAGTTGTCATTTTAAATCCAACCACTTTCTGCAATTGGCAACTAAAGTCGTCAATTGCATTTTTTAACAAAGTGGGCCTGGGAATGAGTCCGCACACCTTCAAAGTAAACATCACAGCTCTAAATCTGATCTTCATCCGTGTGTGTCACACATCATGTGATCAGTAAGCAGAAAATCTATGAATTCGGAGATCGTTTTGGGACGCTGCTGTGATAAAAGTGAGGCGCAAACCTGAAAATAATCTGCAGCTCACACTTTGACAATGATTATGAAAGAACAGAAAAGGCTAGAAACATGTTGATTCTTCCTAATGCAAGAAGTGAGTCTACTCTTTCTTTTGGTAGTTTTTGTGTTTACATCATCATGGAGCACAATGTTCTGTGACTCTTCAAAATACAGTAAAAATGCTCAAAAACGCTGGCAGCCGGAAGCTTTCTGGTCAGGAAACAGCTGGAAGTGAATGAGTAAATAGCCTCAGAGCTTTATTGTGGTTTTATGATAGTGTGTTTTGTTGGTTAAATTATTGTTGAAGAGTGCTTCCACATAGATCACCTCTAGATTTAGGTCAACTGATTTGGGTGGAGAATTGCTTCTGAGATTTAGATGCCATGTGTAGCCTCCGGAAATGGTCTGTTTTTCAATCTACAGGTCACCGCTTCAGTATCGGTAATTTGGAGACATAAGTCTCCAGCTGGAGCTCTAATCTACAGACGGGACAGTTGCTTCTTTTACACTCAGAACTCAGCTCTACTAGATACGGAAGTTCTGATAACATCATATTCACACAGGCACAAAATACCACATCTCCTCCATCTAGATTCATCCATCACAGTAAATGTTAGTTAACTTGTCATGTTTTAATTGTTTGGAAAATAAATTCTTACTTTTACAAACCTGACTCTTTCATGAATAAACACGAAGTGTTTACAATCCCTGAATAAACAAAGAATCCTAGAATCTTCTGATTAAACACGCAAAGACCAAGCAGGTTGATATTCTATATTTATACAGTGTATCACAGCTTATTGGTCATAAGTAGAGGTAATATAGTGAGCTCTTAAAGCACTCAGTTTACCAAATCCTACACCTGTGTTTTCTCCTTTCGGGATTCTTTTCAGTTATTTTCTAGTTTGTTTAGCCTGGAGGTGTTTTGTGTTCATTTTGTCCTGGCCCATGAAAGAGAAGAGAAAACACCACAAAGATAAGAAGGAAGTAGACATTACAGTAAACAACTGGATTCAGTTCTGTTTTGTTTTTACAACTTTTGATGTATTTTCTATGTTGTAATCTATTTTTTGTATCTCTGGTAACAAATTTTACCCAAAGATCAGTAAAATTCCAATTCGTGTTTTTATAGCTTCTCATAAAGGTGTAAGTATGTGCATTTTAACACATTTCTGCAGCAAAAATCTTACCATGTCTGAGCTCTGGTTCATAAGGTTCGGTAAAAAACACCCACAAGAAAGGCTGAGGCTATGAACTTCCAGCTGTTTCCTGATCAGAAAGCTTCTGGCTGCCAGCGTTTTTGAGCATTTTTACTGTATTTTGAAGAGTCACAGAACATTGTGCTAGGCCCTCACCCAGACCTAAGAGCAACATAGCTATCAAGGTACTAAGTGTAAACCGATATATCAGCCAACTGATATTTGACATTTTTTATATATCGGCCAATGTATGTTATGAGTTGTTCCGTTTTGATAAGGTTTTGGTTTCTGTTACTGGTTTTCTGATCATCTCTGTTTCTGTGTTTTTTGAAGGTCAGTTGCAGCTCCTTCCAGGTGCCCTGCCCCCCTGTGGGCTTCTCCGGAGTGTCACAGCTGGCTGCGATTGCCCAATTACCACCCTTACTTAAGCCACTGTTTTCCAGCCCTCAGTGTGGCGTTGTTTTGTCTGTATTGCTTAATAGAGCCAGCGTGCCTTCATGTTTGTGACTTCTGATTAGTTTTTCCCACTGTGTGTGGTGATTTTTGGTTATTAAAGACCCTGAACCAGAACCAAGGCTTGTTATTCCAACAATCGGGTTACTGCCTGAACCTCACAGTGACAATATATCTCCTCAGTAAAGCTGAATCGGCCATCGGTGGTCATGACCTATACATATTGGCATTGGTATCTGCAATAGAATCAAATCAATCAAAGATACAACCAATACTGATTGACCTCTAATAACCACGGTCTCAGACAGTCTTTGTTGGAAAGGTTCTACGTCTGAGAATGACAAGCCAATACCAGCGACATTCTCAGATGTGGAGTTACCCAGGAGGCAGCGGTCTAAAGGAAGCAGTCAGCCAAACTGCATAATGGGACAGAAATGACACAAAGAAGCAGGAAAAGAAACTGAATTGACAGCAGGTGATCCACAGGAATCCACAAAAAAGCCAGCCTGAGAAGATGAGTTTTCTACTAAACTTTCACTAATTCTGTGATGTAAACTTGAATATTTATCAACGGTGTCAGAGCTTGGTCCACATTGCCAGCAGTAAGTAATGCTGGGACTCCGCCAAGGCTGCCCCTTATCACCGATTCTGTTCATAACTTTTATGGACAGGGTTTCTAGGCACAGCCAAGGTGTTGAGGGGAATCCATCTTGGTGGACTAAGGATTAGGTCTCTGCTTTTTGCAGATATGTTATGAACCTGTTGGCTTCATCATAGCGTGATCTCCTGCTGTCGTTGTGTTGGTCACCCCACCTCCAGCTGAGCTGTCGCTGGAGCGGTTCATAGCAGAGAGAATCAGCTCCTCCTTGTACCAATCTGCTGTGGTGAACAGAGAGCTAAAACAGCTTGTGACCAACGGTCACAAGCCTTTGGTAGTGACTGAAAAATGAGATTGTGGATACAAGCAGCTGAAATGAGCTTTCTCCAAAGGGTGTCTGGGCTCTCCATTAGAGATGGAGTGAGAAGCCATCTAGGAGAGGCTCGGAGTGGATCCGCTGCTGCTCCGCATCAAGAGGAGCCAGTTGAGGTGGCTCGAGCATCTGGTTAGGATGCCTTCTGGACACCTACCTAGTGAGGTTTTCTGGGCACGCCCAACTGGGCGGAGACCTAAAGGGAGACCCAGGACCCGCTGGAGGGACTATGTCTCTAGGTTGGCCAGGGAACGCCTTTTAGGATTCAGAGGAGCTGGCCCAAGTGGCTGGGGAAAGGGGAGTCTGGGTCTTTCTGCTTAGGCTGCTGCCCCCGCGACCTGACCCTGGATAAGCAGAACAGAATGGATGAATGGACAGCAGTGTTGTTATTATTTTTTTTTTTTACATTTCTACTTAAAGATGGGAATTGTGACACTGTGGTCATCTCTGATGAAAGTCTTTGTGAGAAATGAAAGCCTAAGGCCTTGCTTGCCAGCTCAGTAGCCAAGTGATAGAGTGCCCACCTTGAGCCTGGAGACCAGGGTTCGATTCCTGGTCGGGTCACACCAAAGATTTTGAACAAATGGGACCCAATGCCTCCCTGCTTGACACTCAGCATTAAGTAGTTGGATTGGGGGGGGGGGGGGGGGGGGGGGTTAAACTACCAAATGGTTCCCGAGCGCAGCTGTGTCTGCAGCTCACAACTCCTCCAGGGGATAGGTCAAATGCAAAGAACAAATATCACACACACATCAGTGTGTGATACGTCATCAGGAACCACCAAGGCATGTTCCAATCGGTTCATGTTTCACCAAGGCGTCTGTCCTCCATTTGTTACACATTAGGGTTAGCTAACTGGGAGCTTTCCCCAGTTAGCTAGCTGAGGAAAGATACATGCGAGGTGCCTTGTTGCCTTCCCTTGGTTAAAGATTTATCAGAATACAGTGCAGTATGTTCTAAAGGACGATGGATCAGGAACCAGCTGCTACTTTGTGGGCAAATTTTCTATTCAAATGCAAGTCAACTAATTGTAGCTATCGGGCTGATATCTGAAATGTTTTTTTTTTTATATCCAGAGCAGTTATCTTTGCTAAGTAGTTGCAGCTTTGGTGGCTAGCAGGTAGTAACTCACTTACATATTGCATTTAACCAATATATACACGATTAAAAAAGTAAAAGGCTCGTTATACATTTACTTTGAAACTTTTACGTATGAAATATAACTTTGCCTCACGTGTCACACTACATAACTGCGGTAACATGAGGCAAGTCTTTTCCATTTAACCATTTTCTTTGACCAAGGAAGGACAGTGTCCTCGTAGGCAAAGTGAGGTTCCCAAGAAACACCCGAAGTTTTTCCTTTTTCCTCATGGTTACTCTCTTCCTTGTAAGCTGCATTGTATTTTTGAAACACCACATCTGTTCTCTGGTATGTCATGTGTCTCTGCTACTTATCTACCAACCAGATGAGATGTAGGACAGATATGGGAAAACCTAATCCTAACCCTATAACCTTCCTTTTTGTTAATGTATACATTTAAAAATATGAAAGGGAAATTACTCACAGCAAAACACAGCCCAACAAAACAAAATGAGAATAACTTACGTTTAGAGACAGGTGTTGGAACATTTCTACACACCAGAGGTCCTTGAACTGGCTTGCCGTTGTCTTTGTTAACAGCAATGAAAGCAGTGAAAGAACTGCTCACTCCGGATTGGACACTAAGCTCCACCACCTTCTTCACCTCTCTATCTTGCTGTTCTCTGTGTGGTCCCTGCTCTGACTCCAAAGATCTAATTGCACTGTGAGCAGCCAACCTGTGGAGTGTTAATCTGTAGAAAGGAGGGAGCAAACAATGGAGCCACAACAAATTCAAATTCTAAATCAAACATACTTTATTAATCCCAGAGGGAAATTAGAGATGAGAAAAAAATGAGATGTCTTTTCATGTATTTTATTTACCAACATTCATGTTGTGAATTTCATGGAGGAAAATATGGCTAATGTTGCAGAAAAAAGAGACTAATTATTACTTAAGCATTATGTGACCTCCTATTCAAGAGGTTAGGGTTAGGTTAAGATGTTGGTCAGTGACCTGCTTAGCTGCTTCTGGGGGAACCCAAAATGATCCCCATCATCAAAACTATAAAAAGATTTTGTGATTTTTTTTTTATTTTATAATTAAATTAAGATAAGAATTGTAACACGTTAAAATAAAATACAATGTTCAAAGATATAATAAATATGATCTTGTGAACAAAAGGCCATCCACATGAACAGGGTTAAAGTTGAAGGGGTCGACCGTTCAGATCAAGCTGATCTCTCACAAAGACACTTGGGTTAACAAAGCTTCTAGGATAAGGACGTTTGGCCTGAATGGCAACATCACCTCAAGCCTTTACAGGGTACTGGTTAAACATCTGTTGACTGGCTGAGTTACAGTCTGGCATGGGAGCTGCTCTGCCTACAGTTGGAAATCACTACATGTGGATAAAACTAAAAGCAACCTAAGGTCTAAATGTGATGCCAAACTAAGAGTGGTTTTACCCCGTGTCATCAGCAGGTTTGAGACTGAAGTATATCTGGTTCTGAAAAGGATGACCTGCCAGGCTGTATTTCACAGTCACACAGCCTTCTGAAGCACCCAGACTCTGTGAAATAAATACACAACACAAATAAATAGAATATCACTGGTCAATGTTTACATCATCCTCTTAATCTTTATTTGAACAGCACTGTTTGCTAGCACTCAGGATGGCTCAAAGTCCTACACACCTTGTTTAAACAGTTTGAATCCAATTAAAAACAGTCAAAACCACTTCAAATCATAATTTACAACATCACGATATAAAACACACCCGCCATTCATACTATATTATTAAAAGCTAATCTATAAAATGTAGCATCAATCTGGTCTACAACATGAAAGGGAGGGAGCCTGCCTAATATCCACTGGTAGAACATTCTAGAGTTTGGGAGCCATGACAGAGAATGCATTATTTTCACTAATTGATGCAGGTGAAAAAAAAATAACAAGTCCTGGTAATCTAATTTATTTTGGTGTCCAACATGAGTGCCAAGTCCATTTTCACCCCCAGTCTGGAAACAATGTTCTTCTCATAGCCTTCAAGCGCCAGACTTATTGCTGGGTTTCAGCACACACGCACGACTTTTACTCATGACAAAATAACAGGGTTGCAAACTGGCGCAGTGGTTAGCTCTGTGGCCTTGCAGCAAGAAGGTCCTAGGATCTCAGTGATCTCATCTTGGCCTGGGGTCTTTCTGCAAACATTCTAAGGAACTTTGAAAGAAAAGCGTCTGGACTTCTTTGAGTTGCTTGAAGACGTTTCACCTCTCATCCGAGAGGCTTCTTCAGTTCTAAGGTCAAATGGTGGAGAGTCCCAGATTCAAACCCAGTGGGAGTTTCCCACCGAAGAGGGAACAAAAGACCCCCTGATGATCTTCTACATAAACACATCCTGCTCCTGCCTGCTCCCGCTGAATTTCTGACCATTACCGCCCGCAACCGCAACGTGTGTGTTACACTCCCGCCCGCACCCGTAGCGTGCATGTCTACTCCCACCCGCAACCGCAAAACTCTGAGAAATTATTACCTCACAATAAAAGAGATGTATTGAGTTTGCGTCCTCTCTGGTCCTGGAGAAAACATGTCATTTTATAGGCTATACCAGGGGTCGGCAACCCGCAGCTCTTCCATCCATCTGATGCAGCTCTCTGTGCTTGTAAAATAATGAATGGATATTTAAATAAAATGCTTTATATTTTACTGAATTAATTTTATATCTGTATGTCAATTCTAAATGTAAAGATTGTCTGCGTAAACCTGAACAGGTCCAACCCGGTCTTACTGTGAGACCGGGTTGACGGGTCACGCTTGTGCGTAATCATATAGGCACTTTCTGAGTTGAAGAGGATGCGAGATTCTGGGCTTCTCCTCAGACGGCTCCTGGATGTGTCGCCACATTGGAGACAGGAACAAGCACTATTCAGCCAAAGTTTCATAATCAGGGAACATTTTCTAAGTGACAAGTCTCTCTGAGAGACAGGGTTTGGAAAATGCTTGCTTCAGTGGGAGGAACCTTCCCGCATGCGCTCTGGTTCTACGACATGCTCCAAGCCCCTCTAAACATCTTCAGCTCGCTGTGCACCTTATGTACTTGCTGACAGCGAGCTGCGCTGAGCGGTGTCCAGCTCAGATGTTCAGAAGGAAATCTTTTGAGTGATTTAGCTACATCTGCGATGTGCGTAACGAATAAAATGTCAGTTCGTCTGCATGCGTCGGGGTAATTCTTTCTATTCTTTCTTTGTCAAAATAAACGGTCAAATACGGGAACTATCCGGTCAACACAAGCCCTGCTTTTAACTGTTCTGTTTTCTTGTGAAAATTGTTGCAAAGAGATTAAATTAAACTTGATTACCACCAGAGCTGCGCACTGCGCCGTTATCTCCGTGATGGTAAATGAAGGAAAAACAAATTGATCAGATCCTGCACGTCTTTTAATACATTGGTCAGGATTGACACACTTTGATTTCATTTCGTTTTTAACCCTTTAAAGCTGATGCGTCACCATGCAGGATCACAGGTGATGCCTCGGCGCATGTGATTTCAAATGACTCCTCGCTACTTAAAACTATAAAATTCTTAAAATAAACAAAGGAGCTACTGTGTGGTGCTTAAAGGGTTAATGAAGTCAAGGCCATTTCATATTCATATTCTATTCTCCTCTGTAGTCAGGCAGTGATCGAGGTCGCTTTTCTAAGAGAGGCCTGATCGGAGAAACTCCTCCAAATGTCTGACTTGCCTTGCTTTGGTTTTTGTGTCATAAAGACCTTGTTTCAGCTTCTTTTCAACATCAGTTGCCGACTCCATCATACTCATCCCGACCCCGCACTGTTTCTTTTAGCCGACCGTTCCCGCCCGCAGCAAAGTTCACACCGCCCGCCCCCGCAAGATATGTGTTGGGTCCCGCGGGACCCGGCGGGACCCAATCCCGATGCAGCCCTCTACTTTCAACTTGTTTTGCCAAATGTTGATGCCGGTTCAACTCCCGGTGACATAATTTATTTAGCCAGCTGAAGCAGATTTTATTTTTTTTTGTTCATATTTTAGATTTATTGATTATTTACTGCAAACTATTTTGTGCCTCAAAAGATCTTTGAGTTTGGTCATTTCCAAGCAGCCTTTTAGTTGATTTACTCTGCTCGCTTCACATGGACTCACACAGGCTAAATAAACAAAGAAAGTTAAAAATAAAAGATTAGTCCTTGTATTTTAAACTGTCTACCAATAAAGGGTTGAAAACATGATACTAGCAAGTGTAGCTAAAAAAGAAGAAAGTTACTGCTGCGACCAGGATGCCAGACCAGAAGTGGCAGAGTGGAGACTAGTTCCTGGCTGGAGGGCTGAACAGGGCAAAAAGCTGTTTACACTTAAAGCAAGATCTAAACAGTGTTTTGTTTATTTAACCCTTTGATGCATGAATTATGAAATCTTCAACCATGATTTTTTACATTTTTTTCATTCATCTTTAGGTGTGAATGAAACAAATTTCATATTTACATATTTTTTGTAAAATTTAATTTACAAATAATTTATTACATGTCCACCTCAGTGGACAGTGTGCAATCTGAACATGAAATATGTTGGCTTGACTTACTGAAGTACAAATAGAGGGGTTCAAATGCAATAAAGTCTTCAACAGCTGTGCTTAATAGCAAAAATAAATAAATAACAATTTTAAGTACCTGTCCACTGTAGTGACCATTATGCATCAAAGGGTTAAGGCCAGATCAACAAAAGAATATGAAATCTGAGCATGAAACGAGATGATGGGGATCCTACCTCTCCAGTAAGTTGGGCATAAATCAGTGACCTCTGACCCTGAAACATTGTTGTGATGGGTGGGGAGAGGACGGTAGCGGACACTCCCTTTGGTAAATCCCATGCGACAGAGACCTCCTCCACGACTGGCTGCTGTGCAAACTTCAGTGACTGCGTCACCTGGTTGTTAAAAATGTAAAAATTATTTATTTTTCACATTATCAATCCAGCATAATCTGTTGGTACATATGGAGTTATATTTGTTTACTTTTGGTTGCATCCTGTCAGTCCCAGTGATAAACTGAGCATGACCTCCTCCTGCCTTGGCTATCCCATTAATAAGAGCAGAGCTGGCTCCTTCTCCAATCCCAAATGAGAAACATCTAAAATCCCATAGTTTGTTCATTACAACACGCAGCAGCAGGTCATGACACAAACTATGAGTCAGTGTTTCTGTGGTGTTACCTGTGGGAGCCTGCATTCTTCTTCACAAGATCAATCACTTCTTTGGTGTTCCCCACCTCTCCGTCAGTGAAGACAAACAGCTAAGGGACGAGACGTTACTCAAAAGTTAAAAACCGACAGATTATCTGAACGAGAGGTCACTGGTGTTTTAGGAACATCAATGTTGCTAATACACATGAAGAGCAAATATGAGCTTCATTCAAAACTTTCTTAAAGGGTGTGAGTGGAGCAGAAGGAGTTATTCTGCAGATCATCCACAACATTTTATGAGACTGGTGCGCTAAAGTTGTGTTAAAAATCACGTTTGTGTCTTTGAAGTTTTATTTTATCGCTCACTTGTCTAGGCTGTTTGGGAATGTAGGGCTGGCTGTAAATGTGTTGAAGAGGTTGAAGGATCTCTGTTCCTCCTAGATTAGCCCCCATTTCCTGAACTTTCTTCATAGCCTCCTCCATGGTCTTCCTGTTGTACTTTACACTCTCACTGCCATCAGACACACAAAATGATTAGATCTGATGGTAATTCGTTCATACTCTAATAAGAACACGAATAGATTATATAAACAGTACTTACATTAACCAAAACAAAATTAAACATAGAACATGACCCACAGATAAACGTCCTCTTCCAAATACGACAAATGCGATGGTGTGTGTGCGCGTGCATGGGTCAGTGACGTGCAGTCAGAAGAGGCACCTTGTCATTCTGACAAGTAAAATGCTAATAAGGATTTAATCTAAAGTCATTGTGCCCACTGACTGGTCTACACGTAGTTTTCTGTATGATTTCATAATGTTTATGGTAAAAATCTCTGAATTTACTTGTTCCCTGATCAAATATACACGTAGAAGTGAGAGGGGAAACAGATGTGCCTGCCTCCGCTCTCTCTGAGCTGCCGCGATTCAGACACAGCGCATGCACCAACTCCCTGGATCAGGTGTGTGAGGCGCTACGCCCTCTAAGGTAGAGGCAAAGAAGAGCGCTGCCTCTGGAGGCGGAGATGAGAGCTGCCTCCGTGCTCAAAGAGCAGCGCTGCACACATTCACCAAAGCAGGAAGTTGGCACATGCTCACTGTAGTCTGTCTTCATATCGCCAACATATATTTTTTATTTCCCATGTGCTCGATTTGACGACGTTCTACAGTCTGTCTGATATATTTAATGACAGAGTGTGACAAGTTCAGTCTTTCTGAAGGGCCATAAACTCTTAGTTTAAAAGCACTGGAGGAGGCAGGCAGTACCGTGCCTCACTAATAGGGACAGTGCTGAGCTCCATAGACACCCGTGCAAACTGGCTGCTCGTACACACACAGAGCCCACAGGTCTGTGAGAGTGAACTCGTTTAAATTTACTCTCAGTGAATGGGAGAGTTATGGCTAAAAACTGAAGAATTTATTTAAACTGAATTTTAAGTCAGAATAGGAGATGATAGAGGATGATTTATATAACAGGGTGATCATGGAGATGTCAGGTTCATGGACTTTATTAAAGGTAAGACCATACATGATTTTCAAGAGTGATAAAAGAGCAATGAATACATTTTTAGGTCAAATTTGCTCAAATATTAAATATCATTTTAGTTTTCGTGTTGGTGTATTGTTGAATAGTATGGAATTGATTAAATCATAACCAAGGAGTTTACAAACTAAATATTTTACTAAGGTCAAAAATAAAATACAAGCGTCTACTTCAGGATCATATATTTTCAAGTCTGACTGCAGAGCAGTCAGTGCCTCCCCAGTCATGAACTTCACTGCACGTGTGTGTGTGTGTGTGTGTGTGTGTGTGTGTGTGTGTGTGTGTGTGTGTGTGTGTGTGTGTGTGTGTGTGTGTGTGTGTGTGTGTAAGGACAGAATCACTCACGGGAACATCTGTATAAATTTGGACCAAAAGCTGTAGATGTTGAAGTAGCAGCCCATAGGTAAACTCTTCAGCAGTAGCAGCAGAGTGTCCTAAAGAGGAACAGAAAACATCACAATCAACATCCAAGACACATGAAAATGTTTATATTTTACAGATAACCCTCAGATAAATACCCTTGCACTAGTTATGCGAGTTTCGTGTGGATTGCTGTAATTGATGGACCGGCCCATACTCCCAGATCGATCCATCAGGAACACAAACTCTCCACTGGAGGCGAGTGAGGACATCACAGACTGAGGGAACTCAGGGTACAGGCTCACCATCACCACTGGATCACCCATCAGTGAGCCTGGAACAGGACAGAATATCAACATAAATCCCATAAAATCCATTTATTTCACAAATACACAAAAAACACTCGTTTTGATGTGTGAGCTCACCAGGTTGAGCAGAGGCCTGTCCTGCCTCCACCACAGCAGTGGGCTGGTGGGCGTCTTTGTAATAAATCAGCACTTCAACGTCTCTGTCAAACTTGTGTCCTGCAGCCAACTTAAGCTACAGTTTAAACACACACACACACACACACACACACACACACACACACACACAAATAAAGTTGTTCATCTTGTTAGGAACAACCACACCCAGCAGTAACATCCGCTCTCTACCCACCGTGGCCTGTGTTTGATCACTGTTCAGGTACTGAAGAGGCTCCAGGGAACAGCTGGACTCCACTTTACAGATTGGACGAGTAGAGGACACTTGGACAGAAAAGGACAGACTGTAGGGCACCAGAGAGGCTGGAACTGAGCTCACCTGGACCCTGGGGCCTTCACTACCTGCAAACAACATGACGGACAACAGGGAGTCACCTGGTGCTGGTTTGATCTGGAGACTTTGTCAGGTTGGTGGGTTCTAACGGGACGTGTGTCTCCTTCTTCCATCAGCTGCTTCTCCTACCCCGAGGTTGGTAGCGAGGGTTGAGCACAGCAGGCAGACAGAACCTCAGCCCATCATCAGCCTGCACAGCCAGCTCAGTGACGTAGTCCAGCCTGATGGAGGCGCTCTCTCCTGGAGGCAGACTGCCCACACTCAGAGAGAATATATCTGGACTCTGCTCACTCTCCTCCAGTAGGAAGGCCTGCTGACCGGAGCTCAGTGCATCATCATACTCCTCTCGAGCCTGCAGTCCACATGAAACGTGTCAGTAATGTTCTCTTTACTGTGTTTCAGCTCCGCTCTAGAGGAACTCTGTCCAGCTCACCTGCTGTTTCTCCTTCACCTCAGCTACAATGTGTGTCTGTCCAATCTGAGCACTGAAATGACACACAGCAGCATCTCCAGGCAGAGGGAAGACAAAGACAGCCTCTAGTGGTTTGTCCTCCTGGTTCTTGTAGTTCAGAGTGGAGAACACTGTAGCTACATAGTCCCTCACCTCCAGGTCCACCTCGATGCTCTTTAGAGGAACTGACAAGCAGGAACAAATACTAGCAAATATTTACAAACATACAGACTCTGTGACTACTTGTGTTTGAGTAAAATAATTATTACAAAAAATCAACAGCAATGTGTTTATTTTCTAGCATTTTAGAGCAAAAAATTTGCATGTTGTCATTAAATCAGAACTGATCTGCTAAAACGAGGTAGTGTCCAAAAAGAATAACAAGATTTTTATTATTTATTTATTTATTTTACACAGATAGGCACAAAATATTCCAAGTGTGTTTTCTGGCAGCAGTGCGGTGAAAAAATAAAGGATTAGTATTTCGTAATAATAGGAACGTTTCTCGTTATAACTTCAAATAAAAGTAGTTTAAACGTGTTTCTCGAAGTAATTTAAATTTAATTACTCGTAATCATTAGATCGCTCTAAAGGTGAAACACTGACCTCTAGCGGGATGTTTGAATCTTTGTCGAATAGAAACAAAAGGAGAGGATGGAGTCAGAGCTTGTTTGTGCCTTTTTAAGAAGCAGTAATTAGTCAGGTGAACACATTTCTCCACACTTCGTCCTCTACTTAGAAAACAAAGACGACAAGGCTTACACTTGGATTTCCGGTCCACACAACTCTCTTTGGATTGCTCTCCTCTCCCCACCTCCACCTTCCTCAGGATCCACTGATTTCCCTCTTTCCAGTTCACTCTCGCTCTTTCTTAACATTTTTTTAATCACAATTGTCTCTTTTTTTTGCGCTCATTTTAAATATATGTTTAACCATTTTCTAAATTGTTTTTTTAATTGTTACATTTTTTTTTTGTTTTTGTGAAGCGCCGTGATTGAGAGGCGCTATAGAAACGATATTTTTCTTCTTCTTCACGCAAAATTGCGGTTGAGGTGCTTTCAAAGTAAATACTGACTTCCTATTCGTGCTTTTTCATGTTTAAAAATCTTAAAACATTTGTATTAATAAAATATTGCCGTACTTCTCGATATTACATTCGACATGTGGGAAATCTGGCCGTTTGTTATTGTTTTTGCACCTGTGTTGTTGGTCAACCTCAACTTCTCGGGGATGTCAGCCTGTTGCCTTGACCGTTTTTGTTGTGGCGCTGCTGCTGCTGCTGTACTCTCTAAAGATGAGCATAATGAAATGGGATAGGTGCTTCGTTCATTCCACCACAGCATAACCGCCATTTTACCGTTAAACCACTTGAAACGTTCTCGTTAAAATAAACTTCTGATATGAGAAGGTTTCTCGTTGAAACGAGATTTATACAAAATGAGAAACTGTCTTATTAGTTCCCCGCGCTGACGGATACGCTTCCGTATTTTACACACTAAAGTTTCATCTTACATTTTTATGACTACAGAGTCAATGTTACTCATAAAAGGCACAATGAATCTGGTTACCTGGTATTCTATCAGATGTTAAAAGACCAGCACGCTCCATGCTTCCTTTCCAAAACGTTACCGTTGTAAAATATGGAAATGTTTAAAGAATTATCTTTTAAAATCCCTTAAATTAAAGAAAACCTGTTAATGCGATGTTCAGTAAAATCCACACATACAACCCGGTACGCATAGGCGGAGACCCAATGGAGGCACGTCCTCCTCTTGCAGAAAGCCCCCCCCCCCCCCCAATAAATAAAATAAAATAATTGAGCATACAAAACATTTTAATGGTGATATAGTAGTGTCCAGTGACAGCAGAGCACAATCGATGACAATTAAAATTGCAAAACAATGTGGTTTCCATCATTTCAAGATTATGACCCCCTTTCATTTTTCACAAAGTGGTAGAGTCCAACCAAGCTGTTTCAAACAGGGCTGAATTATCCTCCTGTCAATCTGCAAAGTTAAGAGACAAGTAGCCTAGCTATTTTCCAGTGTCTCCATCCCAAAGCAAAGCAAAAGTGAATTCAACTCAACAAACGGGATGATGTAGTTCCTCCACAGAACATGTTAAGATTATTTTATTCATTTTTTTCTTGGGCTATTATCTTATTATTTCAGAAAAACTGAGCTTTTTATTGTTATCTTGTTAATTTAGAGAAACAAAGCTTTTTGATTTTCTTTCAGGTGAATGCAATATGCCAAATGGGCACTGAAAAAACATGTTTTTTCTGCACTAAATTTCACTTTCAATACTTTGCAGTGGTATCTATGGCTTATCTATCTAGAATGAGTTGAGTCAATCTCTTTGGTGGGAAAACCTCTGGTCTACTGCTCCTGTTGCAAGAAGTAGTAGTTAGTTGGACGAGAGGGGAACAGAAAACAGCAGGATTTGAAGTCTTAAAAGCTATTCAAATATTAGGTTTGGCTTAAAAACGTGTAAAACTCATCCTAGTACCGAATGAGACTTTTTCTGCACTTTCATGCATTTATTTATTTATTTATTTATTTATTTCTAAACCTTCATCTGACTCAATGGAGGGACCTGACCCAGAAAATCATCTAACTCTCCAAATATTCCTCACATTAAGTTCTATATGCTACTAGAACATTGCACAGATATGTATGGACAGTTCCCAGCAGTGATTTAAAAACAAAATGAGAATATTAAAATAAATCCTAAAACAAATAGAGAGCCAATGCAGGGATAACAGTATGGGAGCTACGTGATCCCTTCTTCTGGCCCCCTTCAGAAACCTCGCCACTGCATTTTGGACCATTTGTAGTCTGGATATTGAAGCTTGATTAATTCTATGTACAGAAATGGTTTAAGCCTAGCAATATGATGCAGGTGAAAAAAGCATGATCTAACAACAGAGTTTATCTGATTATCAAATTTCAGGGCTGCATCAAATTTGACACCCAGACTGATCACCACGTGTTTCTTCTAAGGAGCCAACACAGAGAGATAAAATGGATGTTCCACACCCACCTTATCATTAAGCTCAAAAATGATAACTTTTTCTCATTAAAATTAAAGTTAAAAAGCCACCCATGACCTGACATTATCCAAACAATCTAAGAGGAAACTGTTCAACCCATGAGCATGGGGAATGTAAATCTGACATTCATCAGCATCGGCTTAAACCTCTCAGGCTCAAAATAAGTTTTGATAAAAGGACAAAGAACTAAGTCCTTCAGGGGTACTTCGGAGTTAAAAAATGCTCATAAAATACCAGGTAGGTGGGTTTTAACTGTTGCAAATCTGCAACGCCTGCCTCCAGATGGTTAAACTACTGTCTCTGAGGTAGACTTAACAATCAGGGGAAGATTGGATGGAAACCCAGAGGTGAGCTGATTGAATTTCCGTTCAATTCATGTTTATATATATACAGCACTAAATCACGACAAGAGTCATCTCAAGGCACTTCACATAGTGAACACTCCAATACAGGTTAGTTCATTAAGCCAATCAATAAAATGTTTCCTAAATAAGGAACCCAGCAAATTCCATCAAATTGCTGACTAGTGTCAGTGTCTTTACAGCAATCCTCACACTAAGCAAGCATGCAGCAACAGTGGAGAGGAAAACTCCCTTTTAACAGGAAGAAACCTCCAGAAGATCCTGGCTCAGTATAAGCAGCCATCCTCCACGACTCACTGGGGATCGAGAAAACAGAGCAGACACATGCATACACCAACACCAGCCCCCCCCCCCCCCCCCCCCCCCCCCCCCACACACACACACACACACACACAAACACACACACACACACACAACATACCAATTAGTAATTATATGATTACATTGTGATTTCTTAGTAAATATTCTATTTAGTAAGAGAAAACTTTGTTGTATTTATCCTAGTGAATCTATTATTAATTCAACAGGTAAACTAGTAGTAGCACATTCAATGTCAAAGAAAGTAAAATGTTATCAGGAGAGGGAGAATGTTTAAAGAGCGGGTCAATTGAGCCTCGGAGTCCTTCTCCACCCACGTATCAATTTTAAAAAAAGCAACATTAGTAGGCGTTGCCTGGAGGACCGAGAGGGCGGAGCCGCGGCAGTGACGAAGACGATGGCTAACTAGACGAAGCTAGCTCCCTTCACTCTGAGCAGTTATTAGAAGTGGAGGACGTTTCTCCCCCTCCTTACACAGACACTCGAGAAGAAAGGGACCAAGTCTATTTGGAGGAGACAAGCGGACCTGAGTCTTATTGTTTTGAGCTTGTGAGTTGCCTGAAACTCCCAGAACCGACCCAACAGAATCACCTCTGAAAGGTAAGTAGCCGTTAGCCATAGCATTGGATTAGCTGCAGGGTTTGTCTCCACGGCCCTAAAAAGCTAGTATTCAGCATGTTTTAGAGGTTTATCTGCTTCAGCACACCTGGTTTTAATCAGCAACAAATAGCTGAGCTGCTTAACAGTTAATCTAACCTGTTAAAGCAGGAAAACCACTGAAACGTGCTGGATAGCAGCTCTCCGGTAGCTCTGGGCTCAAGTTACAGTCTGCTGCATATAAAGTTATGAAAATACCCCATGAGAAAATTATTCTGTAATGTGTTCAGCCCACTAAAACTGCCCTGATTTCTTTATTTATTTACTGATAACAGCTGCTCTCTTGGTTCTAGGTCCTCTGGTGTCTGCAGCTGGTCTCTGGTGTCTGCAGCTGGTCTCCTCTGCTGGTGTCATCAGGATCAGGAACTTTCAGAAGAACGTGCCTTTCAATGACTCTTTCCCCCTTATTTGTTATATTAATTAAATAAATCTCAATTTATATATTTCCTGTTTTTGTTCATGTCCATAAATACTTAAACATGCTTGAAATTAGAACGAGCTTTTAACAGTGAGGTGCTAGCTTAATTAATCACAATAGAGCTAGTTAAACATGCAACAAAAATGTGATATTCAATGTAATTTATAAATATCCATTAAAATATCAAAACGAATCTAAATGAGATATTTGGCAGCACAAAAAACTTGTCAAACACAATATTTATTATAATTGTAGGCAGACAGGAGACAGAGCTGATGGAGGTTCTCAGTCATCGAAGGATGGCTGAAGGCTTTCCAGGAACAGGAGATGTGGTGTGGTCTCTTCTCTCTCTATTCAGCAGGATGAGCTGATAGGTTACAGGTGTGTGAGGACATCCTCATGCTGTCATAACCAGATGACAGGGGTTATCAGGTGATCAGCCAGGCTAATGAGATGCAGAAAGAAAACAAATTCAGGACAGTGTACAATATGTGGTGTTGCTCACCTTATGTGCTCTTATAGAATATTAATGTGTGCATGCCTCATGGTGTAGAGTCTATATTTTGCTGAGTGTCCTGCAATAATGCATGTTATTAGTTAATTTACTTTTGATAGCAAAAACAAAATATTTAATGTAAAAGTTATTTTCCAGGAGAATCAGCTCACACGTCACCACCAAGTGTCACAGGGGCAGAATCAGTAGCCTCCTTCATGATGTAATCACATACTTATTTAATTGTTAATATCTTAAAAATTCTGAAATGTTTTAATTTTTTTTTTAACCTTGAACAGTTCACTGAGCTTGCACTGTCACTGAGGTGGAAGCTGGAATCAACAGCAGACACCTCACATCTTGGTCTTTTCAGGGGGTCTGGACGCTCTGGGACCTTCTGGAAGATGAATTTTCATCATGGTCCCTGTGGGTCACCAGACACACTGCGGCTGTGAGCTCTAAACTGGATGGCTATGTAAAAACAAAGAAGCAGCACATTTATAAATGTTTAAAAGAGCATAAAATCACGTGTAAAAATAATCTGTAAAACAAATTAAAACTAGAAGGTGATAATAAAATGTTTACATAGAAGATTATTAAAAATAATTCACCTTTGCTACAGGGAAGGTTTCACATCAGCCTGGACAAGTACATTCATGCAGCTAAATCAGTCTGACAGCCAGTGTATTGGGTAGATTTAGCCTGAAAAAAAAATAGAAGCACATTGTTGTTGGAGTTTATAAAGTCAGATAATATATAAAAGAATCTCCTATATAGGCGCTTTATAACATTCCTAGTGTGTGATCGTTGTTATAACGTAAAAGTCCATCACATATGATGTGGAGAGCCTGAAATGCGACCTCCTGAACAGAATTCCTTACAGAACCTGTTCACAAGCTGGATTTCACGCTGTAATGCTGTCTGTCAACTAGTGCAGCGTTAGTTAGAGACACTGTTGCAGAATTGCCGACTGACTAGCTAAAGGAAGTGAACCACGTCTCTCAGACTTTGCATTTAGGTAGGGAATTGTCTTTAGAAGATGTTAAAACGTTTATTTAGCTGACTCACCTCAGACTGGAGCCCGCCGTGGTGGGGGAGCAGAGTCGGTGGGCTGCATCTAAATCGCGGAAGAGCCACGGTGGGCAGCCTCCCTCTTCAAACGGAGGCGCGCAGAATCGCGGGTAAAATGCCCACAGAGTCACCGCAAGCATACTACACTACACCTACTCACCAATACTAAGACGATATGGAACACTAAACCAGAAATACTTTCCCAATTACACTAACAGCCAAACACTAACTCAACTACAATATCCAACAGCCAAATCTAACACTAAATAAGTATTTATAACACTAAAAGATATGCTAAGACTAGGATATGCTAATGCTATATGCTAATGCTGAACTACCGCTGACCTCCTATGCTCGCTTGCAAGTCCAACTCCCACTCGCCACAGGGCGTGGCCGAGACGCTCGTTGCTTTTATAACTTTGGCACGGAGCTGCTACGTAGTACTCTACTGGTTTACGTAGTACTTTACTCTTTAGCCATTGGCTAAAATTTATTCAAAATGACAAAAATTCTATGTTTTCAGCTGAAGGTGGCGCATTACTGTGGTTTTTAGACAGAATTTTTAATTTTTAAAGAAAATGCACCAAAATGCTAAAATAAAGAATGCACACATTTAAAACACTATTAGACACTCATTTATACAGTTCATCAGCAAAAAAAAGTTAATTTAGACGTTACTTGCTCTTTAAGTGGTTAGCAACAGTGTACTAGCCGATGGCCCCCTCCATGAGAGCACAACAGCTCAGCAGAACATTATTGTAGCTTCTTCCGGGAAGAAAAACAATTAGAGAAAAAATAAAGTTAACAGCTGAAATAGCAGGAAATAATACAGTTAGTCTCTTTTCAGAGTGTTTCTCTTACCTGATGGCACCATCTAGTGGCTAACAACCATATCACACAAATAGTCTCTTGCTTAGTTTTTTTAAGATGACGACTTCAAGTTTCTTGTTTATTAAAGGGTTTCTGTAGCTGACAAACAGAGCTAAAAATGTTGTTTTACAAGTATTATTCTCATGTCATGTTGTGTTCTCATATATTTATATTTTAAAGACTTACTTGTCCGTGAAAAGTCTGACAACTCTGCATCATCTGAGGCATTTAAAGCTGGTAAGCGGTAGTCTAACGCTATTGGTTAGTTCTGGTCAGCGCTCAATTTCCTATTGCACAAATAACACATTTGTTGTGTTTGATATTTTGCACATGGTGGTAAAAATAGGTTAATACATAAAATAGCAAATATTTAAATTAGAAATTCCAGAAGGAATTTTGAAGGGACTTTGCCATAGGGTGTTGTAGCGCGATGTAAGTGGTTACTTTGAATAAATAATCAATAAAATGTGATATTCCATAAATATAAAATAGGAATTATCAGTATTATTGATGTTTTTGAAATTTGATCTAAGAAAACCAGGTCTTTTTTTGTAGTTCAGGGAAACCACAACTCCGTAATAATTGAGACAGAGGCAAAATATAGTTATAAACTCAATGTAAAATTAAAGCTGCAAGCAGCGTCGTTCGGCCCTCGCAGCTCCGCGCCGCTCCGGCCTGGCTGGCAGCCCGGGGCACCAGGGCATGTCTTGCAGAACAGAAACGTCAACCACCCCGACACCAGAAACCGCAAATGGCCTCCTAGTCCGCACCTCACCCTGACTTAGCATCCCCTCTGAGCTCACCATTAAATTGAATTGTAAGGTTTCGGCGTTACGCCAGAACTCGCCATGGCATCAAAGCCCCTCCCTTTCTGGAAAGCTATCAGATCTGAATGGTCATTACAGCATCATGAAGACAGTGCATGACCTTAGGGTCATGTTGACTAAATTAGAGGGGACAAGTATGGGCATTTCAGCATAAAAAATAAATTCCTGTAGTCAGGGGGCGGGGCTTAGGTGATGTCAGCTGTCCACATTGTCATTGTTTACAGATATGGTCAATGATCACACAGACAAAGTTCGAAAAAGATCTGATCATGCACATGGGAGTTATTAAGTCAAGTAAAGTAATGGCGAAAGGTCAACGTTTGAGGCTTAGCCACGCCCACACCTTTCAACTTTTGAAAAATCCGACGGTTGAATTTTTTCCCCTACGTCTTAAGAGTGTATTGCAGAAGTTTGAAGGTGATTGGTGAAAAGGGCGACGGAGCATCACTCTCCAAACAATGTGTGCGAAAACCACTAAATCACGTACTTGCACCAAAATGGCCGACTTCCTGTGCGACTTTACGCTTGGCTCCAAGAGACTTTTTTGTAGGTCCTGAGACCCCACATTAGTGTACCAAATTTCGTAATCCTCAGTCAAAGCATGGCTTGGGGCTGACAGTTTTAATGGCTCTAGGGGGCGCTATTTAAGAATATAGGCCATGCCCACAAACTTCAGCTGTCTATTTCTCTTGGAGCTCAGACTAGGATCACTCACCAGAAGTTTCGTAGCAATATCACGATAACTGAAGAAATGAGAGACAAACGTATTTCCATGGCGTGATGGCGATTTTCGCCATGGTCCCAAAGCCCCGCCTTTTTTCAAAACCTGCCAGTACTGGAGACCAAGTAACCTCAACTTGTCTACTGCTGTTTGCCACAGAATCCTGGTGATTGGGTAAAAGGAGTCCAGTAGGGAGCTGTGAAAAAAAGAGTAGCGTGGCGACAGGTCAAAGTTTGAGGCTTAGCCACGCCCACACCTTTCAACTTTTGAAAAATCCGACGGTTGAATTTTTTCCCCTATGTCTTAAGGGTATATAGCAGAAGTTTGAAGGAGATTGGTGAAAAGGGCGACGGAGCATCACTCTCCAAACAACGTGTGCGAAAACCACTAAATCGCGTACTTGATCCAAAATGGCCGACTTCCTGTGCGACTTTGAACTTGACTCCAAGAGACTTTTTTGTAGGTCCTGAGACACCACATTAGTGTACCAAATTTCGTAATCCTCAGTCAAAGCATGGCTTGGGGCTAATAGTTTAAATGGTCCTAGGGGGCGCTATTTCAAAACATAGGCCACGCCCACAAAATTCAGCTGTCTATGTCTCTTGAGAGTCAGACTAGGATCACTCCCCATAAGTTTCGTAGCAATATCACGATAACTGAAGAAATGAGAGGCAAACGTATTTCCATGGCGTGATGGCGATTTTCGCCATGCTCCCAAAGCCCCGCCTTTTTCTGAAACCTGCCAGTGCTGGATACCAAGTGACCTCAAGTTGTCTACTGCTATTTGCCAGAGATTCTTGCTGATTGGGTAAAAGGAGTCCAGTAGGGAGCTGTGAAAAAAAGAGTGGCGTGGCGACAGGTCAAAGTTTGAGGCTTAGCCACGCCCACACCTTTCAACTTTTGAAAAATCCGACGGTTGAATTTTTTCCCCTATGACTTAAGAGTATATGGCAGAAGTTTGAAGGCGATTGGTGAAAAGGGCGACGGAGCATCACTCTCCAAACAACGTGTGCGAAAACCACTAAATCGCGTACTTGGACCAAAATGGCCGACATCCTGTGCGACTTTGCACTTGGCTCCAAGAGACTTTTTTGTAGGGCCTGAGACACCACATTAGTGTACCAAATTTCGTAATCCTCAGTCAAAGCATGGCTTGGGGCTGACAGTTTTAATGGTCCTAGGGGGCGCTATTTCAGAAAATAGGCCACGCCCACCGGATGTTCACATCAGATCTTTTGGGGGGCTGGACTAGGATCACTCACAAGAAGTTTCATGACGATATCTTTAGAAATGACGAAATGGGAGGCAAACGTAAGGCCACAGCGGTACGCCTGACTTCGCCGCGCCGCCACAGCCCCGCCCTCTGCCGAAAACTCCCATAAAGTGACGCCAAGCAACCTCCACTTGTCTTGAGTTACCAGCTACAAATATTTGGTGATTAAGTGAAATGGGGCAATTTGGGACCTTTCACAGTAAAACTTGACCTTTTTGGTCCTGAGGGGGCGGGGCTTGTGTGATGTCATCATCCGACCATTTATTTTACTTTGTGGGTGGATGACGAATGACCACAGAAAGTTTGGTAACTCTATTCCATTCAGTTATGAAGTTATAGCAATTTAAAAAAAATTGGCGAGTAGTCAAACTTTGAGGCCTGGCCCCGCCCCTTCAACATATACGAAAACTCAGAATCCTTGTCTCATTTTTTTCGCCCATCTCTTCTGAGCAATTTTACACCACTTTTGAGACGATTGTGCGAAAAGTGATCGAGCAATCCAGTCAGAAACGGACCCTAAAAACGGCCAAAACTGCAAAAAATCGCCATTTCAACCCAAAATGGCCGACTTCCTGTTTGATATTGACCATGCTTGCAAGAGACTTTTCTGTGCGGACTGTTGAGTACTACAAGTGTACCAAATTTCATAACTGTACGATAAACTAAGCTTTATGGGGAGGGTTTTTTTTCACTTTCTAGGGGGCGCTGTTCAGTCATTTCCTGTGCGATTTTTTTGGGACCTTTAAAATATCAAATTTTTCACCAGGCCTGACATGTTTGCAAAATATTGTGAGTTTTGGGGAATGATAAGGTCCCCAAAAGGCCATTCAAAGCGGGCTAAGAATAATTAAAGCTGCAAGCAGCGTCGTTCGGCCCTCGCAGCTCCGCGCCGCTCCGGTCTGCCGTCGCACCAGTGCACGTCT